TCTCCCCCTTCTTGGGGCCCAAGCTCTTCTGGGCAGCAAAGACCTTCCCCCTTCAGAGTTCCAGCTGTCGGCCCCCAGCGGCTGCAGGTGGAATTGCAGCTTCTGTCCTGAGGTTTGCTTGCTGGGGACTTGGTAGGAGGGAAAGAAAACACGAACACCAAGAAAACATGGGATTCCTCCCGCCCCCTTCCATTAGTGCTTCGTTTTTCTGTTCCTCTGGAGCTCTTAAGGTCCTGCTGAGAGTGTACTTTCGGGATGTGGGCTGCAGGGTTCCCGCTCAGGTAGGAGGATATAAAAGGAAATATAATCAGAAAATAATCAGAAAAACTCACAGCTGGATTGGTCTTATACTTGGTCTGGATTCCTTCCTCAATCTCTTAACTAGGGCTCATTTTGCAGAATACTCAGTCGCTGCAGATATTCTGCCTGGGTTCTTAGCTGTAGTCAGGACACGAGGTCTATGGAGTGTTGTTGACTTCATTTTACCTGAGCTGGAAGGTTACTGCATAGATTTTCAAGAGTAAAATGCTGGAAACAGGGTCAAAGGCCGATAATACAGGAGTAGTTCACTGTGCCACAGCCACACAATGGAACATTAAGACAACTATTTCAAGAATAAGTAAGCAGAGGTGTGATGGTTTGGAAAGATTTCCATGATAAAACATAAAACTTTTTTATTGGAGTATAAAATACACATGGAAAGTGCACACATCAGAAGTGCAAAGATCAACACATTTGCACAAAGAAAACACACCCATGCAACCAGCACTGCGATCCAGACACAAATCCAGACACCGCAACCAGCACTGCGATCCAGACACAAACAGTCCCATCCCCCAGAAGGCTTTTTAACTTCATGAAATATTTGGGGAAACCAAGGCAGTTAGAGAGGATGCTGGAAGTCACCTTCAAAACTCTTTACTCTGGAATGTAGAAGATGCCTCTACCTGCTCATGTGAAGACATAGCCTGTATATCAAGAAGGGATAGACGGTTGAAAGAAATTGGCACCATACGACACACCTATTTCACATGGAGTTTTGTCCCCACATACTCAGAACCCCAACCAGCTATGTTTTGGCTCCTTATCAATTACAGTGAGATAACAAACAATGATCAGACATTGAGGCAGGTGTGTAATATGAAAGAGAAGGACCAGAGCAGACCAGACCAAACCAAAGCATGACCACAGAGTGAGGAGAGTTTTTGAAAACATCACCAAGCAGAGAACAAAAAAAAGGAGCTTTTGAAATAAAAGTATAATTCTTAAACTGAATATTTCATCAAAGATTACAAGAGAGAATAAAAGCACAAAATTACATTAAAAAAAAAAACCTCCCAAAAGGTAGAACCAAACTCACAAAGTTGGAAAGCGTAAAAGAAAAACAGGAGACAAAAGAACTGATTCAGAGAGGAGAGGGAAAGGGAGCAGGGGACAGTCAGAGGAGGGGACACCTGTGTGAAAGTCACATAGGAATCATTAGTAAGAAGTTTGGGGCTGGAAAGTGACCAACAGCCCACACCCAGGGGAAATACACCCAAGAGTGATGGAGGAAATGTCTAGGACACAATAGGGCTGAAAGGAAAGTATAATCTTCCCATGGCACCTTTGCCTCAGAGGGACTCAGGACCTCCAGGGGACTCTGAGAGGGAGGGGCAGCAGGTCAGGATCTGGGCTGGACAAGGACCAAGGGAGGGAGAGGGTGGTCTGGGGTGCACTGAGGTGGGCTGCCCGGAAGGAGGTTCAGGATGGGGCTGTATGGCCAGCGAGGCTGGGTGTGAGCCTTGAGCACTGATTCTTCCCCACGTGCAAACCCAACGTGTGCCCATCTCCTCCTTGGACCCGACTCTGAGGTTCTGGTGTCCCTTCCCTGCTGCACTGGGTCACCTGGTTTGCTGGCAGCTGGCTCCCCAGGTCCTCACACACAATTGCAATAGCACCCTGGACAGTGGGATGCTTTGCTTCCGCAAATCACGGAAGACACATGATGACGTCAGCCACATGCTCCCAAAGAAGGCACTGATTTTCTTCTAATTAATAAAATTAGGAAGTAATGGAAGGAAAATTTTAAGGGAAGTAGATGAGAGAAACTAAAAAAGGAAAAAATTTAAAATAGAGGCACTTTGCCTCTGAGTTCAGTTCAAGTCCTCGGAGGGCAGCTGACATTTGCTGAGCACCAGGGAGACAAGCCAGGCAGGCAGGACATGTGCCAGCTCTGCTCCTTCTCGTCATCCACGGTGAGTGGCATGGGGGCTTCAGGATCAAACCCCTGCAGGGCCAGGGCAGGACACAGACAGGGTCTGTCCTGGGGAAACGGCAGAGACTTTCACTCATCCATAGACGGATGATAGATAGATGCATACATGCACATATATATATATGCACACACACATAAATACATGAAGTTCTGAGGAACTCTGAAGAAGC